TATTATTATTATTATTATTATTATTTCATTTATATGGTAAGTTTTGTTTATTAATGCAATTTTTCATTATTTCTTTTTTCCTTTTAGAAATTCATTATGGCAATTCACTTGTTCAAATGTCTTACTGTGTTTACTGCTAGAAATATCAAAATGAGACAAATCAGTATTTTCAAAATGTATTTTATTATTTATTGAATTGTTTTTTTTTTGTCATGTATTATTTTGTTTATAATTAATGTTACTTATTAATATTTAACTTTATTTATTAACCTAGGATTTATTTTTTATATTAATTCAGTTGTTGTTTATTGCTAGAATTAAAAAAAAAAATTACAGTGTTTTGAAAAGTTAGTTATGTAATATGGTTATGTAACAAATTTTCACTAATAATTTATTCAACTAAAAATAAAATGGCACACATTAATTTTTTTAATCAGTTTCAAATCCTGTTTTTGTACCATATGTTCAAAGTAGCCATTAAATAAAACCCGTTTTTTCCCTCTCTCTCTCTCTGTGCATCTTCACCTTTTATCCTCTCTATTCTCATTCTTTCTTTGGTCTCCATAGCGACAGATCAGCCCTGCTGCAAGGCTCTGTACGACTTTGAACCGGAGAACGACGGAGAGCTTGGCTTCTGCGAGGGCGACGTCATCACGCTGACCAGCCAGATAGACGATAACTGGTTCGAGGGAACCGTGCACGGCCAGTCCGGATTGTTCCCCTGTAGCTACGTAGAGGTGATGGTGCCGCTGCGGCACTGATCCCACACAAAACAGGAAGAGGAAGTGCAATGGCAGGTACAGACAGGGAGAAAGGGAAAATCTGTGACTTGTATTTCACTATGAGCACTTTGACCTCCTGAGAGAGATGTTGGATAATATACAGTAAGTGTTGGGGTTATTATTTGTTACTTTTGGGTTCAGGTCCAGCGTTTTAGGTCATCTTAGGAAACCCTAGCATTCCCCAAAGTACAATAAACATTGAGAAGCATGTCAAGGATAAATCCGTTTTGGGAGTGTTCATTCTAGAGGCAAATGGATTTTATTTTGCCATCAGTTTCCTATAATGATGTTACTAAGAAGTGTCTTCTGTTGGCAATCACTGACCTCTAGTGGCCGCATTTGTGTATAACAGTTAAAAATGCTGCCTAGCGTTTGTCAATCACGGCTCAGCTCTTTCTGAATGGCGCAAAGCTCAGTGTGTTTGAATATAACTTATTTTACTTCAAAATGCAGTTGTTCATTTGAATCTCATGACTGTTTAAGTTACCCTTTCCCATTAGCTTTAGTTGTGTTGGGTTTGTTTCATTTCCCTTAAAGGGATATGCACCCAAAAAAATTTAAATTCTGTTATCATTTACTCACCCTTGCATTCTTTCAAATCTCTGAACTGCTTTTAGCTTTTGAACACAAAAGAAGATATTTTGAAGAATGTTGGTTACCAAACAGTTGACGGTAGCCATTGAATTCCATATTATGGGAAAAAAAATACTATGGAAGTCAATGGCTACCGTCAGATATTTGGTTACCAACATTCTTCAGAATATCTTCTTTTGTGTTCAACAGAAGAAAGAAACTTTCCAAGGTTTGGGGCAAGTGGAGGGTGAGTAAATGATGACAAATTTGGGTGAACTATTTCTTTAAATGCACTTTAGCTGTGCATTAATAATTAGGTGACGAGTTGACTTTAGCAACAAAACAAAAAGGGAGGTCAACAGATAAATAAATTGTCTTTGCTTGAGCATCAACAGGGATAATTTACTCAAAAAAAAAAAAAAAAGTTTTATTTTCTCACCCTTATGTTGTTCCAAACCCATCCAGTTTCATTATATTGAAGAGTCATATGGTTTTGAATGACATGAGGGTGAGTAAATGAAACTATTTCTTTAAGTGATCACTTCCTGCTAGCAAATTCTGTTTTTAAATTAGTATGTAAATGAGGTAAATCCAGCTGTTTGATGAACCCGAAGTACCAGTTTGTGTTTATGTACACAACAGTCATTTTTACTTTTCTTTTTCCACATGATACCATCCCTCGTTCTCTCTTCTGGAAAAGGGAACCTTTATAAATCCACTTCTGCACTGTACCTGTGTTTCTGAGAAGTATAGTGGGACTCACACACACAATTAAAAACCTCATCTTACAGATATTAGAGCTCAGCGTAGATGTTGAGTTCTTGAAAAGGGAAATTAAGTGTGTGAACCACTGTTGTGATTCTGTGTTTTAAGCCCAGATTGTTTGTCTTCTGGATTATTATGGCTTTAATCGGTTTCACTTCCTCAAAGAAGGAAATCAGAAGTTCCTCTATCACTGATTCTGGTTCAGGCTCTATTTCTCAGGGAAAGGTGCATCTGCTGTAATCCTACTGTACAGAGAATCTCATTGGGACACATTCATAATATCTAACATGTTAGAACAAAAAAAAAAAAAAGACATTCTTGCCTAAAGTGCTGACAATTGAAATTTGTTTCATAAACCGCACCAAACAAATGTTTACATGGTTCTTATACCTTTATATTTGTGAATTTTGCTAGTCTTTTCATTGCATCTTGACACGGAAATCTTGAAAACTGGGATCAGGCTGTAATCTGTCCAGAGTTACTGTAGTAAAAGTAGAAAATCAGAGCTGTCGGAAAGCATAATGCCCAATGTTGTGCATCATAATTGTCACTAATAGGTCAGTAAGGATATATATACAACAGCATATTCAGAAAGAATGAGATTTCAGCAGCTAGAGATCCTGCCATCACCTCTTTGGATGTGCCTTTTTTCTCTTTTACTTGTGTAAGTACATTTGCATTAGTGAGCAGATCAGATTTCATGTAATTCAGTTGTTTAATCCCGAAAGGAACCAGTGTGACCAGCTTTTGAAAAGTACAGTATAAACGTTTGTGTCATTGTGTTTCGGGTGAGGGATGTTGGTTCAAGGTTTCAGGTCCAGGACTTGCTCTGGTAACCCAATTTTACCTCTAAGCTGCTTCCTACTGTATTACTGTACTCTCAACATCCTACGTGCCTTCTGATGTTGCTTACACTCTACACTTAACAGTAAAAATATTTTATTATGGGTAGAATGTATTATATGTAATGGAAAACCTTGTTTGTGTATCTATAAATCGAGATTTATAACAATCAGAAAGTGTTTCAGAAAGAATGCTTCTTTGAATCAGTATTTCCTGCCTAATCAATTTGTGATTTTATGTTTTATTTTAAAACTGTGCAGGGTTAAGAGAACATTGTATATTTTCATTTTAAATAAAGGTGAAAACTATAGCTGTCTGTGTTTACTCTTGGTCAGCGATCATTTTGAGCAGGTTTCTCTCAGCAGCGAGTGTGAATGTGAAATGAAAAGCATGGACAGGATCCGGAGTGGAGTGATCATAGAACACGTTCAGCAGTGAGGTGTTAGTTTTTTCACTCCACTCATTAAAAAAAAAAAAACAGCTAAAACCAGCCTAAGTCTGGTCTTGGCTGGTCTTAGCTGGTTTAAGCTAGAAGTTGCTGGTTTTAGCTGGTCTCCCGGGGTTTTGTGTCGCTGGATGGCATGTTAAGCTTCATTGGCGGTTAAGAAATATACAAACTGAGGGTATGTTTACACAACAACGTTGTACTAAACGTTTAAGTTTTTCCTTTGCATTTTTTAAAAGTTTCGCGTGTCAAAATGATCTCTGTTTACACTGATCTACGGCTAGTAGTTGGCGATCACATCACTTTGTAAAGAAACACTACATGTTTCTGCGCACAAACCTATAGACTAAACATGTAATATGCATGCGAATGACGTCACCGTTTTCAAAAATTCGCATTTTTGGCATTCACACAGAGACCATAGCGGCATCATTTTCAAAGATTTGCAGAAACTCGTTTTCAGAAGTTTGCATTCTAAGGCCCCTAAAACGCTGTTGTCATGTAAATGAACAGTCAAAACACCTTGAAAGTTTAGCGTTTAGTTGAAAATGGTGTTGTGTAAACACCCCCTTACTACCTTTTGTCTAAAATGTACATTATTTGATATTACTTATTTATAGAACAGTGTAAAAGCAGTATCACATTCATAATCCACACTATTTGCGGCCACATTTACCATTTCCAAATTATCTGGAATTTTGCATGATTATACGTGTATATAACAATAAAAAATAAAACTATATTAAAATAATTATTGAAAACGGTTTAATGTTGGCGTCGATGGCCTTATGGGCGTCCCAAGTTCGAATCCCAGCTCCAGGACCTTTCCACGTCCCACCCCCCTATCTCTCTTCTACTTACTTGTTCTGATCTGTCCTATCATAAAAAAAAAAGAAGTAAAAAATGGCAAAAATAAATGTTTAATTAAATTAAATAAAATACGAAAAATAATGTAGTCTATAAATCTAACATTTAATAATAATATTAAAAAGTATATGTGTGTGTGTGTGTGTGTGTGTATACGTATACTGTATATATACATACACGCACATATATATATATATATATATATATATAT